GCCCCCTTAATTCCCAGACTTTAGCCTATCTCCTAGCACTACAACTACAGCCTGGCCTCTCCTCTCCTCTCCTTTGTGTTCTGGGGCTCTGCATGCAGCCTGAGGACTCACAGCTGAGCTGAGCTGGTCTCTTGCCCTGTCCTCCTGCCACACAGCTCAGACCCAACTATGGCCCTGGTGGGATCCTCTGACATTGCAATGGAGGCACAGCCTGCCCCTCTGTGCCAGCCCACAAGGTACCAGGATGCCTCTTGTCATGTTTACGTCATTTCCATCTTCAGTCCCTTTAGTAACCGTTGCTTCCTGAAATTTTCCTTTGTGACCATCTTGACTGCAGGAGTCATTGGACTTCATTCCTGGCATGGCCTGGGGACTTCGTGCACAAGTCTTGGGTAGAAGCTGTGAAACATGCGGTCTGAACCACCCAGTCCTTGGGACCAGGCTCCCCCAGGGACCGAGATTGTGACTACAGCTTCTCTGTAACTCAGGCACATTGAGGGTTATGAACCTTTGCCTAAGAACACATTGACACATTTACTGTCAACCAAGGATTTTCCAAGCTGTCATGTGACTTACAACAAACCAATTTGTATGATTCTCCTCATTTAGCACATGATGAAACTGAAGCTTCAAGAAAGGTTACACAGTGTAAATATGTCCTCAGCCAAGTTGTGTGAAACTTATTCAGCATCTCCACTGGATGGGGTCTCCTGCAGCATCTTCACCTAGAGGATGCAGATGTCCCATGTTTCACTGTCTGACAAATAGACTTTCCCTTTTGAACTTAGAACCAAGCAGTCAGCCTAGCAGCTGGGGTGGACCACATGGTTCATTATTGCATTAAGACCACATTGTTTTTCCCAAGGCAAACCCTTGCTTATAGTCCATCAGTATAGACAACTTCATTGCAAGAATGATTTACCTTTGTAGATTTGGAGCCCAGAAATGTAAAAATTTCCAGTGTGAGCTCTTCCAGAAACATAAGCAAGCTTTGGATTTCCTCTGGCACAGCAGTTTCTTTTCCTGTTTTTGCTCTTATCTCTGTACTTTCCACCTCCCCTGTTGGAAAGGGGTTTAGCACGGAGGTCACCATCTGCAGCAGTGCTGTTTGTGCCTGTATCCTCATCCACCCTAAGCCATTCTGTAGCACATAACAAACACAGACAAGGGGCTGGAGGTAAAGACCCCCAGCAAACTCGGAGCTGTTTACTCCACATTGTTTCGGTGTGGCAGGGTTGCTGAGGTATGCTCGCCCACACTTCAGCATCCCCATGTGCAGCCACATGGAAGAGAACGGGAGGGGTGGAGATGTTGACTTTCTAAACGGTAAAGAGAATGCCAACATTAATATGTATCAACTAACACTAAAGATTCACTAGTTACTTCTTATAGTGGTGAAATACATGTACCCTACCATTTACAGCCTTAGCCATTTTTAGGTACATATTTAAGCGCATCCACACTTTTATACAGCTGTCACCATCACCCATCTCCAGAACTTTGTGGTCTTCCCAGACTCCAAAAAGTAGCTCAGTACCTATAGGTATAAATTCCCATAAACATTCATTGGGCATTTTTATCACTGATGTCTATGACCTTATCTGGCATTTCAAATCAAGAGTGAGGAATTATCCTTGAGAGGCAATTGTCCCTTGCTGAGAAAACTTTGAGTCCCTGGGGAGACCTTTCCTGGCCAACATCAGCCACCTCACCCCCACTTGCTCCTCTTTGGTTCCTGTGCACAGGCCTAGCAGGTTCCTAGGGACAGGATGGGGAAGTCATGGAAAGAGAAGCAAGCACCTGTGATCTGACCAGCATTTATAGTGCTGGGGCTAGGAACCTGGGAAGGAGTCCTTGCCAGCTCCTGTCTGGACACACAGGGTACTAGCCACCCTGACAGAATGCCTGCCTGAACCTTTCCAAACCAGGAAGTGCCCTGTCTTGGAAGTGAGTTCCCAGATTCCAGTGTTCATGCTGCATTCTTTGGGAACAGGGCTCAGGAGAACCAAAGTGCAGGCCTTTCTTCACCAAAAAGAACTGCAGAGGATCTCCCCCCAAATAGCTTCTTTTGCTGCCCAGATAGGTATAAAAGGAAGCCAGCTATAGCCCAAGAAATACCCTGCCTATGCGGGTTTGGAGGAGGCACTGTTAACTGCTGCTACCTTCACCTCTAGGCTGGTGTGTCTTTTTCTGGCCTCCTCTCTGCCCCACTGGAGCTTCTCTCTAGCTTTCTGCATCTCTGTGCAGTTCATGAGGTGCCATGTGCTCTGACAGCCAGCTCCATGGGCAATGTTGGGATCTCAGGCCCCTTGCTGTGGGACCCACCTTACACCCCCACCTCAGTTTTGTGTGGGCACTGCGCTTCAGTTAAGAGTAATATCCCAGCTGATCTCCCTCCAAACAGTAGGTGAAACTAGACTCCAGGTGGCCTCTGTGGGGAAGTCAGGCTCCGAGATCACCCAAGTAGAGTATTTGTTGATACCCTCACTTTTGGGAGTGAGAAGAGGGTCCCCCAAGTGACCTTGCCCGAACTTTTAATTATTCCTTCACAATTGAATGGAACTTATCTGTGTGATTAATATCACCCTTCTGTTTTTTCTTTTTTATTGAGTTTATTGGTACTTTTTAAGTATACAGTACAGTTACATTCATCATTGGGATCTTGTACCTTCACATGACAGGTCTTGGTTCTCATTTTTTCTCCATACCCCTGCCCTCACTTCACCCCCTCCACCCTCCCCTATTTACAAAGACTTTGTTTCTATTTTTCCCTTTTCTCATATTTTTTCTTTTCCCTTATTTCTTTTCTCCTCCCCTTCCCACTTCCCCTACACCTTTAGTCCTTTTATCATTGCCCTTCTTGTGCTCTTCTGGAAAACATGAAAATGCATATATTTTATATTCAGGACAATCATGGGGTAAAGTTGGATACCTGGAACAATGTTTAGATGTAGGGCTGAGGCTGGTTTGTCGGACCTGAGTGAGTCTTCCTGGCTTAATAGATTCCCCAGCAGACAGTTCTGCTGCCCTTGTTTTTAAGTGTTAGTGCATAAGCATGTGTAGAGTGAACACTAAGGCTTGCTATGATAGAGTCCTAAAAATGTGAAACTGCTGGAAGTTTAAGGGTCATCTAGTCCAGCTCTTGTTTATAAGGAAGGACTGAGACGTAGCTAAGGCAAGTTTCAACCTCCCCCAGCTCTTAGGCAAATCTATTCATGTTGTACGCAGACATTTGTAGACTTGATTTTCTTATATATCAAACCCTAAATGGTTCAAGAATTTTTTTCACAAACTATTTGAGAATATATGAAAGAAACAGTAGAGGTCTTGGGTCTGAGCTCCCAGTAGTTTGTGTCTGCTTCTCAGTGTCTCAGAAACTCCTGTGGAGGCTGCGTGCTGTGAGCTGCAGTGTGGTCTCTGCTACCTTGAGTGGTGCTTTCTTCTCCATCTTTCTCTTGCTGAACAGGGTCTTCCTTTAAGTGAGACAGAGAGGAAGGAAAACAGAAAGAACTAAACAAGCTGTGAAACTTATTCAAGTTTGCAGAAATGCACAAGGCCCCTCTCTGGCTGTGCTAAAGCACAGAAAAGGCACAGCATGGATGCAGGTCTTAGAGGCCTGTGGCCTCCTCACAGGACTCTACACAGCAGTAGCACCAGGCCAGGGAAGACATTCTGTCATCCAAATCCAGTGGTTTTGTAGAAGGAGTTTCTGCTGTATTCATGATGGAGGCAATATAGTTGATGTGTGCACACTGCCTGTAACTTGAATCCAGTAAAGAGGCATTAAAATTATTCCTCTGTGGTACGGACAAGCCTAGGTGGTGGCCAAGTGTCCAGCAGCTTTTTGGCAGGACTTAGGGAGGTGGCCAGATCGACATGAGGAGTTCATTGTTCTAGACCCTCTGTAGTTCCCAGGGTTTGTCAACAAGGCCCTTGGAAATCAGCCTTCATAGACCTTTCTGTCTGTGGTCTGGTACTTCTGAAAGTAAAACATAATTTTTACTGCTTGTTATTAAGTCCCTGTACAGCTGATGTTATGGAGCCAGTTAATTCTCATATCCCAATGCTGCTGTGGTGGCTTCGCAGACTAAAATAGAGGGCGTGTAAAAGTCTCCAGGCTGCACTACAGGTTGAGAAAATGCAGAAACTCTGCATATCAGGTGTATATAATTCCTGTCTGTTGTTTTGGGCACGGACTTAACACACTCTGTTCCCATACACGGGCAGTGATTTTGTTGTCCCTCTGGAACTCAAGGACTTCTGAGCCTCACAGAAGAACTGGAGCACCTTCCCTATTGGCTTCACACGCACACTTCTATCCATGCCTACTCCACCTGTCCTTTCTCAAGCCCAAGGTTTCCCCCTTTTACACCCCTCTGAGGAGAGCAGTTGCCCCTTTTACAGAGCACAAAATTGAGATTCAAAGAGCCAATGGACGTTCTGGAGGTGTATGGTGTCAGACAACTGGTGGGGTTCTATACAAGTCTGCTGCAAAAACCCTGATGCTCTCTCTGTTCCTCCCATACTGTGGGTACAAATGCACGTGTCACAACTCAGTCCTGTACTTGATTGTAGAATACATTTCTGTGAGTCAGGCCTGCAGGCTACAAACTCAACTGCGCTAGTGTATATGGGCTGCATAGTAGCCTTCAGTGACAAAATCTGGACCAGAGGCAAATGCACAGTCAGGCTGAGCCCTGTCAGAGTTTGCCTACCCGAAAAGGCAGTTGCTCAGACTCCTCTGTCTCCATCCTCTTCCCCTTTACCGCTTCATGCATCTGGGTCTAGATAGTCACAGTGCACTTGACAGCTTCTTTGAAATGTAGGAAGATGACTTGTTCAATTCTCAAATTCCAGAGTCTTTAAGTAGAAAATCAGGTCCATACTCATTTTTTCTTCAATTTTTATTAATATCTGTTTGCAGTACATAATGATTACATTCCTTGTGGGGAGTTGGTACTTGTACATGACATATCTTAATTCTTTTTTTATCCCCTTTCTTGCTTCTCCCCTCACCCAACAAAAGGAAAAAAGACAGATCCATGTTCGTGTTGGCTTCTATTTGCATTGGCTCTGGACTGATACGTAAGCCAGGGAAAGTCACAGCCTTGGGGTGGTGACCTGAGGATGGAGGAGGGAACCAGCAAGTTTGGGGTTTCTTCTTGGAGTGATGAAAATGTTCTGGAATTAGATTGTGGTGATGGCTACATAACTCTGAATGTACTGAAAGCCATTGAATTGTACACTTTTATCAAGTGAACTGCATGGTAAATAAATCATATACTATATGATATCTCAACCTAGCTGTTTAAAAATGTTTTTCTTAGCAGTATTTTACTTGGCTCTGAGCCTTTGTCAGTTGTTTTGCTCTACCACTTTCATCCTTGGATATATCTAGGATGGAAGTAGACAGAGGAAAAGCCTCGGAACTGAGGGGGCCTCTAGGGCATGTGCTTGGAGCCAGCTCTCCAGGGGGTCTGAGCCAGCAGACCTGAGCAGACCCTGAGCCTGAGGAATTGCCCAACCCATGGACTTCTGATGTGGTACTTACTGGTGGACTAACCGCACGCAGCTGACATTAGTGGTCCTCTTGTTAAGACTTGGAAGAAAGGGGAAATTCTTCCCCTGGCATTTCCTACTGGCTTCATGAAGAACCACAGGCACATCTGCCAATGTCCTCTGTGGAGAAGGACCTACAGCCTTCTTTGTCTTGAGGATGGTTTGTTGTACAGTGATCAGTCTCGTAACTGTGGATGGGGAAGGCCCTGTATCCTTTCCCATGAAGACCTCCTTGGTGGCCCCCCAGGCCCTGTGTGGGGCTTCTGCAATGTCCTTTGAAAGAAAGATGATGACAGTTAGACTGATGGCTTAGCAAAGCCATGAGAATTGCTGAAGAAGGACTACCCTAAATATAGGTTTTTCTGCCAACAGTTATTTTTGGTTATTGCTATTACAGTTGTGCTTTCTGGTAACCACTACAGTATCGCATAAATACAGGCTGAATCAGCTAGGCTGCAGAGCAAGCTGGGGTGGAGACGACATGTGGACAGCCCCCCAGTGGACCCTCCACCCAGAGCCTTGGAGGGTCAGGCGGCAGGGCCAAGCCAGGCAGGGCCAGGTTGTGCCAAGTGGCCCTTAGGGGCAGTGGATGGTATTCTGCCACAGTGCTCAGGGACATGGCAAATCTGCCAATTCTTGGATGTGAAGAGGCCTAATCTTCCTGTAGCCCATCACTTGGCTCTGCCCAGCCGTCCAGGAAGGCAAGTGGCTGAGTCCCTGTCCACCTCTGCCCTGCATCTGTACAGGAAATCTTTCAGTGGACACATTTCTTTCCTTTCTCCTGCATGGGAAAAATTGAGGGGCAAGAGGCAAGCAATTCTTCCTCTGGAAAAATGAGAGTCTGAAGAGGCTGAAGTTCTCTCTGGTATTATTCATCCCTTGGAAATGTGTGTCAGGGCATAGGCTGGTGGAACTTGCAGCCGGGTGACTTTTGGTGCCTGGGACAGACATTTCAGGATTAAAGGGTGGTGTAAGGAGGTATCCAAGCCTCAGAAGTACTGATGCTTGAAATTCTCAGCTCTGAGTTACAAAAAAATGTTCTTATTGGAAAAAAAGCCAGCTCTGGAATCCAAATCCTTTTTTCCCAGACACCCACAAAGGTTTGTCATGAGTTGGCCTGTGAGGGCTTTCAGCATTCTTGGTGGTAGTACTAGCAATGTGGGCCTCTGACAGGGCTGGGCACCTGGGCATGTGGTTTATGCTCCCTAGTGTACGAAGTCCTGCTGTCAAAATAGCATCTAATTCAACTGCAGCAGAGGCTGAGGAGAGATAGAACAGTATAAGGCTAGCGGGACATTATTGCCTAAGGCATTGCACTTCCATCGAGTATTTTTAGTTAAATATACTGCCTGAGAGCATCACCCAGAGCTTCAGTTTTCCCAGTCTTGTGCCTCAGAACTACCAGCGTCCTATTTACTGAACCCAGTGATTAAAAGTGAGCCCTGCTTCATAACTCAACAGTCATATGGCCATGGCAAGTTATCTTTCCCTTGCACCTCTTTCCTCATCTGTTAAATGCTGGTCTCAGGAGACTCACTCTTGAGTCTCAGTAATCGATCTTATAAGTGTCACCTGTGGTCACCCCGGGCCTGGAGTGGGAACTAAGAACACTGAGAAGAGCGCTGCTCGTCTAGCAGGTGTGAATATACAGGAGGAGGAGCTTCAAAAAAGAAGTCTCCATCCCATTAGCAGTAAGTCCCATGCCCCTCCACCTGCTCCAGAAACAACTAATCCATGTTGAGACTCTATTCTGGACATTTTGTATAAATGGAATCATACATGGTTTTTTATGTCTGGTTACTTCCACTCCACATAGTGGTTTCAACGTTCATCCATGTTGTAGCATGGGCCTTTCTGCATTCTTTCTTAGGGCAGAATAACATTCCATGGTACCGATGGACCACGTTTCCTTGGCCCTTGCAAATAATGCTGTGGTGAACATTCACATCCAAGCTTGTGTATAGCCAGGTGCACTTAGTTCAGCTGCTGTCCTCAGAGAGTTAAGTAAAGAGTTACCATGTTACCTAGCAATTGCACCAGAAAGAATTTTATTACCTATATAAAATCCCTGTTACTTTTTTCTCATTTAATTAGCCTGGCTAGAAGGGGTTAGAATGGACATCCATCCTTATCTTGTTCTGACTTCCAAGGAGTCATCCAGCCTCCCTGTTGAGAGCGCCTTTGGCTGTGGGTTTTCATGAGTGTCCTTTGTCTGGTTGAAGACCTCATCTTTCTTTTTCACATCAGAAGGAAATCATTTGTGGTGGATTGTTAACTTCATTCTATTCTGAAAATAAAAAGGGCCAGGGAAACAAAGTTGCATGATCACTAGCATATTTGTAAAGAAAGCCCATGAAATATGAGTGACAGTGCTCTGACCAGCATCTCCCCTGCTGCACAGTTGACATCAGAATCATAATTCCAGTTTGTATCCACTCATGTGGCTCCCGTATGTGCATCTGTTGACTCCCTGACTGAAGAGATTTAAATTTTATTTAGAGGGCTTATTTATTGTATTTTCCATTTTTCATTAGTTAAAAGTTACCTAATAACTGTGAATGCTGTGGGCCGAGGGTTTGGCTCAGTGGTTCCTCTTCCAGCCTCGCAAGCACAAGGACCTTAGTTCTATCCCTGATACCACCAACCAACAAACAAAAACCCTGCAAAGGCTGGTATTAATATGGCAAGGTCATTACTGACTTTGCTAAATTCATCCCTTCATGCTCCAGCGAGCTCTGAGTGCTAAACCAAGGAATGCTTGCTGAAACAAATGAGTTTATCCCAGCTACAGAGACCCAGGCAAAAGATGAAATGAGTTCTGGCCTGCTAGCATCTGGGGAGAAAGCTGCTGTGGACTAAGCTGAGCTCTGGGCTTTGCATGCTTCGTCCCAGGTCATAGGGAGTTTGCCAGCCCTTTGCCTATCCTCAGTGGTATTGCCTTCAGGAAACTGGCTGTGCCTGACCCATCAAAGCTGGCAGATTTCTATGGCTGCAGAAGAAGCCTGACCTGGCTACTTGTCTTTTGGTGATTGTTTTAGAGCCATTGGGCAGCTCGAGTACTTTGCCACTCCCTCTTTGTGTGGTGGTTCTCTTCCCTGTGCTCACTGATTTCCTGTCCTGTAGAAATCTTTTCCTTAACTTAGTATTTCACATTGCGAGGCTCTCCGATTCATCCTTAACTTCCTTGCAGAAACCACATTCCGAAAGAAAGCTGGATCTTTATTCACACCTTCCTGTACTTACGGCACACCTCTCTTTGCTGCGTCTCAGAATGTGTCCTGGAGCAGAGCTGACTGCCTCCAAGCTGGCCCCTCTGTGCAGCCTGGGCCGTTGCCCTTCACAGGAGAGGAAAGGAAGGATGCAGGAAAGATTTCTGGCCGCATAGGGTGTAGCTTGAAGCTTTTTGGCACATGGATGTTTAGCCAAATATCCAGCTGTGCACCTAGAACTGAAAAATAAAACTAGCATTGATTAAAAAGATCTGTGGTACCACACACAATAAAAGTTTCCAAAAATACTCGTCCAATCTAGTAATAAGTCATGACTTTTTGAAGAATCTTACTTTTGATAAGCCCTGTGAATGTTCCTCAACTGGGAACACAAGGCAGATTCAAAATTAACGCTACCCTGCCTCCTCCAGCTGGCACAGTGTGATTAGCTCCTTTTTTCCCTGTCAAAGTTGTTTTACAAGTCTGGTGTTGTTTCCAGAACACATTGACCAAAAATACTACCCTAAAGTGTGAAATAATCGTTAGTGTTTCTTTTCATATATTACTGGAAACAAATATAGAGTCAAAGTATCAAAACATGGAAAGATTGATTCCTTAGCCATCATGAAGCAAAGACAAGCATATGTTTATTTTTGCACCGGTGAATTGATTGTTTTCTGAGGGTATTTTCAGGATCTCAAGTTGGGTACAGAACCTCTTTGGGGCCTGCCCCATGGTGTATCTTGCCAAGTGTCTGTCTTGCTGTGGTTGGCTGCAGCTGCTAGTGAGGAATGGGACAGGAGGTCAGCTGGTGGCCAGGTATTTCAGGAGTGGGACAGGTAGTTACGGGAGGGGCAGAAGCAGCCAGGAGTAAAGGAGGACTGCTGGGCTCTTCTAGCTGGGCTGCCTTCCTGCTTGCAGCTTGTTTCCTGCTGAGCAGAAGGGACTGGAGGGTCTGCACAGGAGATGTGGTTCTGGCATCTACCCTATGCACCACTCATACGGTTACAGAGCCTGGTAGAACACAGCCCTGTCAGATGGGACCGGCTTCCACACTTCCACATCTGCAGAGGGGGACAAACGCAGATCGCTCCCAGGACTGTGGGAGATACCTGGTGGGGCTTTGGACTTTGGGAAACGGAGGGTAGAAGAACCAGTTCTGAATGGCTCTGGGCCTGATGGAAATCTTGTTCCTGCCTCCCGGGCTCTGAGCCAGAGCTGTTCCCAGCCCATACTCCTCTGTAGAGATTCTTGTAAGAATTCAGGCAGGCCACCGAAGAACCCCCTTCCTTTGCTGCTGGAGTGTGTGTGTGAGAGAAGGAAGGCTCTTCCTCAGCACTCCTGACATTTTGGTAAATAAGTCTTTGCCATGGTATGTCCTGTACAGTGCAGTTTGTATATAAGCATCCCTGACCTATACCAAGTAGATGATAGTAGTGTTCCCCTAACCTGGGCTGAGGGCAGATGTAACTGGGCCAGCACCACCCCTGGGAAAGGCCAGCCCAGCCTTGAGTGTCAGGTGCTGGGGTCAGGCCCACTTCCTACAAAGTGATGCTAAATTTTCCTGTCATTCAACATTGCCCCCAGAAACATCCAGGGCCATTGGCAGAGAGTAAGGACTCCAGAGAGTGGACCTGTGGAGGGTCCCCATTAGTGCTGGGATACAACCATGGATCAGAGGGTCACCTCACTTGGGGACCCTGTGAGAGGTCAGAGGTCAGAGTCCCTCCCCAAGAAGGTGATGGCGCTTCCTTCCCTTCCACCAAGTCCCTCCCAGCTTCAAGTCCCTGCCTGCCAGCACCTGCCCCTGCACTGCCAGGCTCTGCAGAGGAATTTCCACCAGCAGGAGCCTCAGGTTAGCACAGGCTCCTCCCCCAGTGTCAAGGCCAAACTCCACTCAGGCAAGCAAGCCACTAACATCTGCTGTCCCAGCAGGTGTTCTGCACATTCCCCTGCCTTACTCAATTTCCTCTGTGCTCCTTCTCTATGGATACTGAATTTTAGCACTGCCAGAGTCGCCATGGGCAGCCTGTGTCAGACTTTGCCTTTGGACAGGGGTGGAGGAAGCTCCTGAGCATGAGCCTAACTTGTGCTCCCTGGACTGTCAGTCGTAACTAAAGTGTGAACGTGATCATTTTGGATTCTGCATTACCAAAACCATTTTCTTCTGATCATCAGCCCTAACCTGTCTTAGCAGATGTCTCCATTAGGTACTTGGTATGGTAATAATGGCCACCAGGCATCATGTCACCCAGATGTGGGCATTATCACTGCTGTCCTATCCCATGAGGAGGCAAAGGCCTGGTTAGGGCTGGAGAAATGCTGAGCCAACTGCTATAGGCCCAGGGTAGTGATCTGAAGGGTATGAGGGGAAGGAAGACCTCCCAAGTGGGCCATCCAACGGGCAGTTCCATGCCATGGGGCCCATTTCAGCCCTTCTGCAGTGGTTTGGAGCAATGACTTGGTGAAGTCAGGGCACACCCTGGCAAGAGAACATAAGTGGGTGGGAGGGCATGTCTGCTACAATCGAGTGGGTGAGTCAGCTGCCAGAGGGCAATTCCACCCCTTCCCAGCCTTGCCAAGCATTGAGGGTTGCATTGCTGCATCTCACCAGAGTGACTTCAGCTCCTGGGATTACCAAGTGAAAATGTTCCCCTCTAGTTTAAAAAAAATAAAGTTTCCTTAGGCCCTTCCTTTAAAAGTGCTGTGGGCTGTGCCACTTAGGCTTGACCATGGCACCATGCCCAGTTCTCACCATTCCCTGCCAGGAGGTCTGAGAAGTACCTGTTCCCATTGGTACCTTGTGATCAGCTGCCCTTCTTTTCATGGACTCTGGAAAATGTATGAAATAAGAAATTGTCCCAGGTAGTTTGTTCTCTTTTCCTGGACCCTGACCTGGTTTTTTGCACTGGCTTCGCAGGGCACCACCTTCCCACAGGGGCTCTTCTTTCTGCTGCCGCTTTTGCTCCCCCCCAAGAAGAGGAGCCAGTGGTATGAGCCCTTTAGGCTGATTGGAGTTGGTGCAATCTGTGAGTGGAGGGAGGGCCAGGGCAGGAAAAGAAGAACCTTGCTGTATCAGCAATCTTCTGCTCGTGGAAGAGACACTCAAGGGGACTAAGCTGCCCTAAACTGCTTCTTTCCCTTATGCTAAATCCGTAGTGGTCCAACATCCATGTAGTGGCTCTTGCTCCTGTCCCCACCCACCTGCTCTGCTTATCCTGGTTTTCTGCTTGTGCGTTTACGTGGATAAGATGAGCTTAGGTGCTCTCATTCTCATGTGCTGTACTAAAGGACTGTGCCTTCAAACTCCAGAGGGCTCCACCTCACAGCCCCATGAAGTCATCATAATTGCAAGGTCAGGCCAGAAGCTGGTATGTTATTTCCTCCCTGTGGGTTCTCCAAGAGCATGCATGTCTCCTTGGCTCTCCGTGTCCTGGGGAGAATTCTTCCGAGAGGGAACAGTGCCATTGCAGGGTAAGGGGAGTGGGTACACAGTGAGGAGCAGAGCAGGGGCTACTGGCTCCTTCAGAAGCAGTGGCTATAGACAGAGTTCACAAGGCCAGGATTGGTGGCCAAAGACACACAGGCCCCCAGGGGAGTTGCCGAAAGGACACCAAGTTTGCAACCCTGAGCCCTTCAAGAGCTCTGGAGACCATCCCTCCACTGAAACTAGCAAGAGAGGTAGGTGTTGTGATCCTTGCAGCTACAATGAATAGTCAGAGGTCCCTGTGCACCCTGTCTCTTTTCTTCAAAGGGTGTCACCCCAAGATGCATGTGGGCACAGGGCAGGTCCCTTGACTCAGAGTGCTCAGTTCCTGTGTTGGCTGGTTTTCAGGGATAAACCAGAATTGTGTTCACTAAAACCAAGCACACAAAACAAAGTCACCACTTCCCGTCCATGATGGCGTACAGTACGCCGCTTACCCTGTGTTCGTGTGTGTACATGCATGTTTCCCATTTCTCAGGACTTCTGAGGGACTATGTACACTAGTAATATCTTCTTGTGGCCCATGTCCACATCAGTGAACACTGAGGCATCCCCAGAGCATTGCACCAGGTGCAGGAGAAGGTCCTGGATGGGGCACAGCTTTCCCCAGCTATTGTTCCATGTGTTACCACATGAGGGGGAGACTGGGCAGGTGGAGGGAGAAGCCCTTCTAGGGCCAACTTGTGCTTTTCTTTTCCTCTTTTCTTCCAGCCCCATAGAATGTCCACGTCTATCCAGCTGAACCTGAGTTACTCTTACTATATTTTCCCTTGAGGCTAGGACCAGGCAGGAGCTGACATTCAAGATCAACTGCTTGCATGGATTTGGGGGCCATTTTGTTTTCATTTGTTTTTGTTTTTCATTTTGAAGGAAATGTACAGTATATCACTCAAATGGGAATTGTGTCAAGAGTTGAAATAGGAAGGCACGAGTTTTGAAAAGTGCCTCTGTGTCCTAAGTTTACAGCAAGCACACAGGTCTATCCATCGGTCCTCTTAGTGTGTTGAGGCTCCTTCCTGGTGGAGGCACAGGAAAACCTAAGAAGCACAAATGCATGGACTTTGAAACTAGGCAGGCAATCTTCTCTGGTTCATGTTTCCCTAGACTATAAGCTGTTATTCCTTCTTTCTATTGCACTTTTCTGTATCACTAGTGCTTCCAACTACAGTATGAATTTCTAGGAGAGAGCAATTATGAAAAAGCATATGTGGTATTGTGGGCTGAATCATGTTCCCTAGATTCATCTTTTGAAACCCATGCTCCCAGTAGGGTCTGCATGAAGCCCTGCAAGTTAAACAAGGTCATAAGGGCATAACCTGACCCAAGAAGCTTGTGTCATAGGAAGTGACACACACAGCAAGAAGGTGGAAGCAGGCTTGGTTCCTGCCACATGAGCAGGTGAGGCTGTTGCTAAAGCCAGGGATCTGGGTGCCTTGGGACAGCAGCCTGAGCTGCCTCTTGTAGGTAGTGTATTCTCTACTTCTGCACCAAAACAGTTAACTGGAGTGTTGTTTTACTTATGAACTATATATGGTGTGGTTTAGTTTCACCAGACAGTCTAGGGGAAAATGACACAGTAGACTTCCAGCAAAGGGCAGGATTGTGCAGCATTTCCCTTCCATGGTGTTCACTAAACCTCATCTGTTCATCCTCACACTCCTAGTGTCTGGGAAGGTGTCTGGCCTATGTTAAACTCCCTCTGCATGCTGGCAGGGTGAATGAGCAGATGGATGCACGAGTTTCCACAATGCACCTTTTTACCCTGGCAAGAGGACAGAGTTTCCTCCTGAACAGGAGCCAGAGTGCCTTACCCAGGCCTGCAGCCTCAGTTTTTTCTCTGTCAGAAGACAGTGTGTTCACCTCAAAGGCTATGTATGAGCAGCCAGGAAGTGGGTGGCAGCTCTCACATAGCCTTTGGTGACTTTTGAGAGACAGATGTGTCAGTCCTCAGCAGTAGCCTTCTGGGAGGCACAGGGGTTGCAGAAAATAGGCTTAGCCACAAACTTCCCCAAGTGTGAGAGGCGTGAAGCTTTTGAGTCTTTTGGGGCAATGTGTCCTCAAGTTAAAGGTGCTATAACTGGGCTCAGAATGGTGTACAGCTTCCTAAAGCCAACAGCTCCATGCAGTGGACGGTGTCTCTGTGCTTGGACCAAACCAAAGAGTACTTCCCAACCCTAAAATCTTGGAGCTGAGAACAGCAGCATCAGTACCTGCTCTAGACCGGGGCACTGAAGCTCCTTGGAAGAGCTTTGGGTGCTGCCATAAGACTGAGCATAGTGGCTTTTATATGGTGGCCCTTCTATGTGATGGGCTTTGAAAGCCCACTTACTGAGGAGCAGTCCAGAGGCCTCCTCCAAACCCAGGCCTAGTTTTGTCTTGGCAGGGAAAGGGTTGTTGGTGTTAGGTTTATTTTTACTTTGAAGCTTTCAGGAAAGAGTCATTGTTTGAATAAATTAATTTAACAAAAAAAATCAGCATCTATTTCTTTCTTCCTTCTTGTCTAGGTGAATGTCCCCAGGGCTAGCTGTAACCTCTTCTCAGCAGGTTGCTTTAGTACCAGCCAGGACTCTGCCCCCAGTACGTCTGTGTCTTTTCTTCTTCTAAATGATATTCTTTTCAGGAGCCCAGAACAGTGTGACTCTGGGTGTATATCACCACTGTGTGGAGTTGGGGCAGCTGAACATGATGTCATTTCCAAATTAGGATTTTATACATTGGGTTGTTGGCTTGCTTGTTTTCACATCACGCTCCATCTAGACAGCTTTGGTTAGTGCCTGGTATTCAGGGTGAGACCACTTTCGCAAGGCAGACAGAAGCACAAGGTGATATTTGCATTTCTGTTTTAATAAACTAGAACAACAGTTATGTTGTATGCTACTTTACTTAGAAATGCACAGGAACATGACTTTGGAATGAGTAGTGATTTCTTAAATATAACAAACCAAAGCACAAGCAACAAAAGGAAAAATAGATAAATTGTACTTCATGGAAATTTTAAATTGTTGTCTGTCAAAGGACACTATTTTGAAATGAAAAGAGATCTCACAGAACAGAAGGAAATATTTGCAAATCATATACATTCTAAGATATTTGTATCCAGGATATATAAAGAATATCCACATCAGGGCCAGGGATTTAGCTTAGTGGTGCAGCATCTGCCTTGCAAGTGCAAGGTCCTGAGTTCAATCCCCGGTACCAAAAGAAAAAAAAATTCACACCATTAATAAAAAATTTAAATTGAAATGGACAAAGGATCTGAATCGACATCTGTCCAAAGAAGATAAAGTGCAAAAATGCATATGAGAAGACATTTGACATCACTAGTCATGAGAAAAATGCAAGTGAAAACCACATCTACTAAGATGGCTATGGTCAAAGACAAGAATGTTGTCAAGAATATAGAGAAGAAATCAGAGCCCTCATACATTACTGGTAGAATATAAAATGTGGCAGCCACTGTGGAAAACAATCTGGCAGTTCCTAAGAAAAGTTCAACGAGGAATATGGCTCAGTCGTAGAGCACATGTTTAGCATGTGCAAGCCTGGATTCAATCCTCGGCACAAAGAAAATAGAGAACTTAAAACTTGCACATGTATATGTCCATAGCAGCATTATTCACAGTAAGCAAAGGTGGAAACAAGCCAATGTGCATCTGTGGCCGAGTAAATGAACAAATGCAGTCTCTCTGGGCACTAGAGTGTTATCAGCCACACAAGGAAATGAAGGACGTAAAATGTGAATGATGCATGGAAACATCACATGACACCAAAGAAGGCAGACAAAGGACTACGCGGTACAGAGTGTCCACAACAGGAAAATCCATAGAGACAGAAGGTCAGTTAAAGGATGTCACGGCAGGAAAGAAGAGGCATTAGGAGGTACAGAGTTCCTTTTGGGTGGGATGAAAATGTTCAGTGATTCAATAGTGGCAATGATTCCACAATATACTAAAACCACTGAATTGTAGGCTTTAAAAATGTTAAAGTGAGATGTGGTGGCACACACCTATAATCCCATCTACTTGGGAGGCTGAGGCAGAAGGTTCACAAGTTTGAGGCCAGCCTGGGCAACTTTAGAAGAATAAAAAGGGCTATGGATGTAGATCAGTGGTAAGACCACTTACTGAGCCAAGGCCATAAGTTCACTCCGCAGTTCTGCAAAACAAAGCAGGGCTCAAAATGATACATTTTGTTATATATATTTTTTATCAAAAATGTTTTAAACACATGCACAAGGAACGTGTTTAAGCTAGTGATGAGGCAGCAGCTGATGCGGGCCTCCTGGGCTGCCTTATGACACTGCCTGCCTGCCCCACAGGGACACCCTCTGTCCCTGGAGACTTTCTTGGAGAAGGTAGAGACATCTGCCAGAGTGGCCTCTCCAAAGGCAAGAGTGTACTGAGGACTCTGGAGGGGAGGACACTGCACAGGCTTTCTGGGATGACTTGTTAGAAGAGATACACCAGAATGCCAGCAGTCTGACCTAAGTGTGCCAGGATAGCATTTGGGTGCTTTAATTATTACATTTGCTTCTGTTTTTTTCCAATAGGAAATACAAGTGACTTGGGTTCTTTGCTTGCCAAGCAAGTACTCTGCCTCTGTGCCCCATGCAGCGCTGGAAGGGAAATAACAAAGTGCCAAACTAGGGTTTGCTTCGGTAGAAAGCTTTGTCTGCCCTTCTGTTCCCTTCCTACCCCTTTGCTCGTATCAGGGTCAGCACCACCTCCCCACCCCACCACCGTCCTGGAGAGTGGTTAGTGGGGCACATCCGAGCAAGTGCATGTACTGGACAGGATGCCCAAAAACACACCGAAAGTAAGGTAAGACCCAGAACCCTAGGGCTTCTTTCTTTCTGTGTTAGTAGAAATAAAAGATTGCTTAAAAGTTATACAAAACACTACTTAGGTGAAAACTAGCGCTGTAGGTTACTGTTTTTTGTTTTATCAAAAGCTTGTTAGGGCCTGGGATTTAACTCAGTGGCACTGGGCCTGCCTTGAAAGCACAAGGTCCTGAGTTAATCCCTGGTACCAGAAAAAAAAAAAAAATCTTGTTACAAGCTCTCAGCCTTCTGAAATTCCACCTGAGGAGAGTTTATTTGAAGACTATATATTAAAGTCAGAGGGGGCCTGAGTGATCCTGGTATCTCTCCCAGAATATGTCCTCATGCTGTGACTGCTTCTTCCCTCATCCTGATCCCTTGAGTGTTGCCTCCCTTTTCTCCAATGGATGCATGGTCCTATTTTCGTATTTCCTGTGCTGTTTGTAACCCAAAGTGACAGGTATGTCTCACAGCCCCCAGGTGCCCTGCTCCCCTGCTGTTGCCCCGACTACATCATCTTGCCACCAGGCTGATTACTCAGTTTACAAAGAAGGATGGGTGCAAGCATGTGATGATAAGCAAACCACAGCCACTTGCCTGCTCTCACCAGTTCTGGAGGAGGGCATGAACACCTGAGGCTGCCTTGTCCACTCGCTGGTTGTGGCAGGTAACCCTGAGTAGACAGCGATGCAGCCCGATGGTCAAAGGCCCCTTCCAGGCCCATGGCTCCAGAGCCATAAGCCATGGTCACAATTCCCCAGGACAGTTAACCATCATCACCTGCTCAACAGAGTCACAGCCTAGAACGAGCACATGGTGACATTAGTTCACAAACCACCCTACAGCAGCGGGGCTGGGCGATACCACTGGAGGACTGCACAGGAGGGCGGAAAATGGAAAGAGTCACAGATCGAAGTGCCACAAGTTCCCTGTATGCTAAAAACTGAACTAATCTGAGAAGCCAGGGCCCCCAAAAGCAGACTGCAGTACCGGGACACTGTAGAGAAAGCCCTCCACACCCGTGTGGAGAACCGGCTGTGGCCGAGGCTAGATGGTACTTGGTGAAGAATCAGCACAAGAGTGACCCATGCCATACGGTTTGGGTAGCACTGAGTGTGGCATGCAACCCCTGCAGGCCACCTGCCACTGATTACCAGGCCGATACCTTCCTACCTCCCTCATCGAACACCTCCATCCACCTGGGCATCCTTGGTGACCAAGAGCTGAATGTCCTGATCTTGGAGGGAGATAGGTTGCTCTGGTAGATGAGTGGTGTGCATTTGTGCTCTGCTGAGGATAACTACCGGGGGAGCCCTGAAGAACCCGAGGCACACATTGAGCCTCCACACAAAGCTGTCATCAGACACCATCTAAAGATGCAGCATAGGTCAGACCAGACCTTCTCTATTGTACTTGCATCCTGGGCACCTGGTATTGTGCTCTGAGCAGTATGAACCACCCTCCTTTCCTGAAAGGAAAGATGAGAGGGTCACAGTATATGTGCCTCACTTCTGACCTCTTGTTCCTGCTGGCCTGTGGGGAGGGAAGTCCTGGGGCAACATCCACCCAAGTCCAGCAGGCTGAGGCAGGCCACGTACCTGATCAGAGCAGGACAGAGATTTGGTGGCTCCTGGAGACAAGGTGGATGAGATGGACCTAAGGCCAGGGTGCTGGGTTAGGAGACACAGTTTCCTTTTGCTTGGAGCCATGTGCTGCCAGAAGATCCTCAGAAGTCCACCTCCTGTATCATGCTCTGCACTAGCTTTGAGTCGTGTCTTTAAAATCTTATTAAACTTCCTTTCTGACTTGAAAGCAACCCTGAAAAAGCAACCACCACTTTAAGATACTCACGCAGGGCACATCCCGCCACTCTGTGGAGTTGTGGCCCTCTGTGGACCCTAAAAAGGCATCCCTCCCAGCAGCCTCTACTTCAATGCCAGAGCCCCTCAGAGCTGCAGCTTCTTATCACCGTGTTAGAGACAGTAAGCACCTAACCCAGAACCATTTCCCCTCTGGGCAGAACAGAGCATGAAAACAGCCTCTTGGCCACATCTTGATGCCAAGCTTCACAGCCTTAAAGTCACAGGGACAGTCTTTGTGGATGCTCAGCAGCTCCAGTTAGTGACTTTGTGCCCTGGACAGCATCTTATAGCCCGTGGAGAACTCAGTCACTGGGATGCTGTATGGATTAGGGCCTAAGGGGAAGCAGGGTCAGGAGACAAGTTTTCAGGTTTTAAGATAGTTTGTGAGAAAGATAAAACCACTGGGGAGTTGGCAAAGTCTTTTGCACATTAGGGCACGTTATCTTTCAGCTTTCATGGCAGACTTTTAAAATGTTGTTGTTTTAAACCAAGCATAGTGGTGCACACCTATAATCCCAGCACTTGGGAGACTGAGGCAAGAGGATCACCACAAGTTCAAGGCCAGCCTGGGCTGCATATGAGTTCATGGCCAGCCTGAACAAAAACAAAAACACTGGTGTTTCTTTTGCCTTTAGGAATAAAATCTTGTTCCTGCTTGTTTTCTGGTGCAGTGGTATAGTCTTTGGATCTGTACATGGCTTCCTGAGGAGGCTGGCTGGTCTCAGTGCTACAGGCAGGTTGAGGCTGGGAAGAATGGACCAGTCTGCCGCTCACAGCACAAGTGTGGCGATATTCCTGACAGTGAAAAGCATGTTCTCTTCCTGCTCCCTCCCTCTATTCTTGCTTTCTTCTTTCTTTTAAAAACTTGTTTCAGTTTTAGCCAGTGCCCCTTTGCTCATGAGCAGGGGAGGCTGCTGCTTTACTGTGTTGGAGCCACAGGGTGATGTGCACCATAGCTGACTGGTGTACCGCCACACCGAAGTGGAGTTTCTCCTCCTCTGTGCAGCTGGAAGTAGTAGAACAAGTGGTTGAGAATGAGGAGCAGTGTAAACCAAGAGTCAGAAATGACCAGGAATTCTTGGTGGGGTGGCGAGAGCCAGCATGAGAAAGGGCATGAGCCAGGCCCGATGCACCTGACTGGTGGGCACAGGAGGGGTCTGCCTGCCATCAAGCATCTTGGTACAAGGATCTCTGCCATTCTGATCTCTCCAGCTTTTTGCCACTAAAAGGAACAGAGGCTAGCACCTCTTAGCCTCAGTTTCTGCATCTGTCTGGCACTTCCCTGTTGAGTGCTTACAAAGATTAAGTGGGATGCTGAGTGTGGGCTGCTGTGCTCTCCCTCCCGACTGGTGGCAGCTTCTGCGGTGTGGACAGCTAGACTCATAAGACATCCATCCAGGATGCAGGGCGGGGCAGGGGGAGCAGAGATAAAGCTGGCTGGGGAGGCATCACCACCTGCCACCCCAAGTTTGCTTCCCTCCTCTTCAAAAAACCTGGCTGTGATTATTGTTTACTACTGAATATTAGGTCCTGAGCTGTTTGCAGTTGGTAACAATTGTTGAGTACTTTAAGCATATACAAGATAATTACTAGCCCTACAAATTAAAGATAACCATTGATGGAATTTTTTAAATTCCTTTTTGTTTTTGTGGTTAAATGAGAATAGAATTGCTGAGGGCAGCTGCGAAGGAATACTTTACACTATACTCTGCAAATCCTCATGAAGGGTGTCCCAGCAGGCCCACGAATTGGCCTTAAAGAGATCAGAACTGTGCACAGCCCAAGGTGTCCCATCATCTGTAAGCTCAAACAGTGAAATCAAATTAAATGTCCAATGACAAGATCAGTGAAATGAAGAAAAATCCCATACATTGGAATCTTGTGTACTTATTAAAAGTATTTTGAGGCAGACTATTTACTGAGTAAATTCCTAGTGTACAGCATTAATGACAAAACATTGGACATTCTATGTGAATCACAGAAACATTGCCAAAGGAGACACCAGCATCATCCTAAATTGTGGGGAATCAGTTGATGAATGTGTTGTATGTGTATAGGGCCTAGAAATTACCACAGTAAGCATGTATTGTTTCTGTAGTCAGAAATTTGTTGTGTTATTTCAAACACCTTCTAGGGGCCGGGTGTGTTGGCGCACACCTGTAATCCCAGCACTCAGGAGGCTGAGGCAGGAGGATCGCTGTGAGTTTGAGACCAGCCTGGGCAATTTAGTGAGTTCCAGGTCAGTCTCAACTACATAGTGAGACTCTGTCTCAAAAAAACCGAAAGACAAAAACAAAAAACAAATCAAACAACTTCTAGGAAAGGTAGTGGTAGGAGGAAGTTTCCCGTCCAGACAAGGGCTGCTCCAGATGCTGCAGGAGCATCAGGCAAACCAGGTGTGAGCCTCATCTCCTATCTAAGCCTCTTCCACTGTCCCAGGATATCCTGGGTGCCACACAGGAGAAGTGATGGTGAGACACAGGCCCTGCACAGCACTGAGAATGTGGCAGGAGCTCCATCAGATTCGGTGTAGAAATAGGCATCAGTAAGCTGCTCACAGACACATACCATGCTGAGGCTGTGGCGCTTTGTGACCGTGGCTCAAGCTGCCATGTCATCTTGAATGAGTCCCTGGACTCAGAGTTCAGATCCACAGCACCATCCCTTCCTTGTTCTTTCTCTGACAGGGATTGTTTACATTCCCAATTCTAGGAGACAGGCAGAATGGCTGAGGCAGAGTGGAAGACATCTGCTTCCTACGCAGATGCACTGTTTAGAATGCAGCTCTTAAGGCAGTCCTGATTTTGCAGAATGAATAAATGGAAGACTGATTGTACCCACTGTTTTAGATAAAAGTCCCCAGGATGGGTGGACAGCATATCATACCTGCTCAGGCAGTGTCTGCCTGGCCAGGGCTACTGCTGCTGTGGAAAATGAGAGTCCATGTCTCTCATTGGTGGGTGGGTGTGTATGTGTTTTTCCTACAAGAGGGAAATCCAGTATTCTGTGGCAGGGAAGCATTGGAAAGCACCTCTGAAGCATGTGCCCTTGTGAACAGTGAGTTCACCAGGTGCTGAGAAGCAGAGGAAAGGGGTCTGGGAAGCAAAGGACTGTCCCTACCTTGCCCACAGCAGTTGTTTAGAGATGGCTTGTCCAACCAGACTGATGCTGCAGTGAATCCAGGACCGAGTGATCTGTACTATTCTGGGTGTTTCATTGATATATCTGAGGTCCCAGTGCAGCGGAGGCCAAGGCTGTGAAGCAGCTTGAATGCTAAGAGGCAGCAGGTCTTGAGTGCTGCCTGTGGTCTCATGAGCTGCTGAGCCCTAGCTAGCTAAATTTCATGGTGCTGGGCCCTTACTTTGATCAGTCATCATTAATGGCACCAATGAGTCAACTGCTCTGGGTTTTCCATCTGTGGCCACCATATGTGGCAGTAATTTGAAATAGAACCTTGGTGCATACTCCAACTCTTATCCACAATGCCTGATAAGGGCCTTGAAAAGGGGCCTCGGTGCTGAGAACTGTCAGTCCCTGCCTTGTAACCGCTTAGCTGTGGTGCCTTTGGTCTTTAAGCAAATTAGTGTATACAGGTGGGCACTCTCCTTTGCCAAAGTCCAGTTAGACACATGCAGTCCAGGGTGATGGCCCCAAAACTTTTGAAGTAGGCAGGTTTTACCAGTTTCCTAGCCCTTCCTAGGGTAAGAAGGCCCAGGAGTGATTCTATTTGGCATCAAACGCATACATGATACTATATTATTTTGCAGGAAAATAGTTCTTTAAAAATCTCTAGTTTAGCTAGGCGTGGTGGCACATACCTATGATCCTAGCTATTTTGGAGGCTGATTACAGGTTCAAAGCCAGCCAGGGCAGCCTAGTGAGACTCATCTCAAAAACTAAATAAAGAGCCTCTAGTTTGAAAACCTGTAACCATCAGAGCTTTGTAGAACCAGACTTCTATTTCCTTTTGTTGAGTATATCATGAAACATAAGGAAACAAAATATATAATTTGGGTAAAAACAGTATATGAGAAGAGATTCACCTAAAAAATGAAACTCTTTCATTGTGGAAAATATAAAATTTAACATTGCTTAATAAGGAAGCTGTGAGCTTTGCTCTTATTAAAAGGAAATTCAGGAAAATTGGAACTTAAGAAATGGGCCATTCTGTAGGACATTTTATTTTTAGGATAGTTTGGAAATTTTGACTAATAATGTCTATGTGTGATATTCATATTTTTAAAGAGAGACGGGATGCTATCTGACATCACACCCCAGTGCACCAGTCTGAAGGCCTTGGTGCAGGTATCACCTGCCGTCCTTCAGCAGGCAGTAAGGATGTGTGTTCCCTCATCTTTGTGGTAGCACGCTGTGGGGAGGGCTTAATAGTTGAAGCCCATACACATTCAGTCCTTGGGTACTGGGAAAAGGGGTCCAGGTGAAGCCCACAGCCAGCCCGTCTCTTCAAGAGTTTGGAAAGAACCAGAGTCACACACACTCTGTCCTCCAAGGGGCGCCTGCGTACTTCTCCACTGAGCAATCCACTCTTCCCTCCAGCACAGAGACCAGTTCACTGGCTTTCCAATCCCTTATCACGCAGAGTGAGTGTGAACAAATTTGGAGCACGACCCCACCTGAGAGTGCTGGTGCTACACCCCTGACGTGGGGCTCACACCCTGCCTGGCATGTTCATGGGTATGGTTAGTTAGTGAGAAGCGCTGCCCTAGGAGAGCATTCATACGGCTCTTTGGAAATCCCCTAAACACATTCCTGGCTCACCTTCCATACAGTTCAGTCTCTGACTGCAGGTGCCAAAGGGGAACAGCAGGAGGGGGCATCATCCCTGGACTGGACTCGACTGGAGGAGGTACATAGGGATGGGTCTGGAGGGTCATGGTGGCACCTGCCCAACCTTCCATAGAGCCTCCCAGGACCCCTAAGTGCTGGAAATGAAGTGAAACATCCTGCTGCTGCACCCCGTTTGGACTCACCTTTTCCTGCAGGCCATCCCGGGTCCCTGGATCCTCCACCCAGTATGCCCTGACAGAAGCACCAGCTTGGAGCTCACAGTCTAGCAGCCCTGAGGCATGGCATGAAGGACACCCTGTCCTCAGCACCCCCAGTGTCACTACCCACACTTTATATAGGACATCATGCTCCTAAGAACTCACCAGGGACCACCGTGGGGCCTGGCCCCATGCGGCCACACTTGTTCACATTCTTTATTTTGATTGGCCAGTGTCGGATAATGAAAAGTAAGAATTATCCCATAGGTGGATCCTAAAAAGAGCATCTGGCCTCTCCACACCTTTAGATTTGCTAAAATTCCAAGAGGCCCAGTTGACAGAAATAGGCTCAAGACCAGAGGGTTCAGCATTGACAGTTAGGGTCTAGCCACCACCATAAAGGCAAAAGAGCCCTGGTTTGTTGGCTCTTCATGTGTTTACAATTGCAAGGTCCCTAAATAAAGGAGTAACTGTGGTGAAAAGAAAAGGGGGCTTGAATTGTAGCCATAAGTTCTTCCTGTAAAGAGTCTTGTGTGAGCCAGGCATGGTGGCACATGCCTATAATCTCAGTACTTGGGAGGCTGAGGCAGGAGGATTGCCACAAGTCTGAGGATAGCTGGGCTACATAGTGAATTCAAGGCCAGCTTGAACCACATAGCAAGATCCTATCTCAAAA